GGGCACGGACCTGGCGCTGGGCGCCACCGCCCGGGCCCTTCCCTGGCAGGGTGTGCCGCCTCCCCCTGCGGCTCGGCCTGGCTCTTCGCATCCCCGTGTTCCCTTTCGGTGTCCTCTTCTGGGAGGTTCTGCTTTCGGTTTCTGAACATGCTGTTATTTTCAGATGTTTAATTTTCTTTCTCTTCTCCGTAAAGTCTCTAAATCGGCCTAGCTATGGCTACTAGACAGACTAGTGTGCCCACCTCCGAGATGTCAGTAGGGAGAGAGCTGAAGCAAGGGTAACGAGGTGGTGTTTTTTCTTTAAACTTTTGTAGCAGTGCAAGTCTGAAGGTCAGCGTGTGTCCAGTGTATTTTAGCAGAGTATTTTTTGAATATTATCAGTTTCTCTGTTGATATTTACGCTGCTGGAATAGAATTTCATTGTAGTGATGGCCTTTTTTAAAAAATTGCACGGGCACTTAAGTGTTTTTATTATAGCCTGATCTTCAGTATCTTGAGATGTTAAAACTGTCAGAAATCTTTACAGAACTATTTGGCATTCCTTTAATTGTAGGTTCTAAGAGAGTTTTGACATTCTACCTCGAAGGAAAACTGATGTAATAATTCTGATAACATGAATACATTTTCCTGTTCTTGGGATTATTTTTTTTACAGAAGAAGGAAGCATGCTTGTTGCTCTTGAGTAACAGATTAATTAAACTTCTTTTAGGAGGCGTCAAACAAAGATCAGGATGGAGCTCCCATTTGATTCAAGTAGATTCTGTGTTTTTGAAATGAGGAGTAAGGTTATCTGATAGTTGCTTTCACAACAAACCTCTTGTTAAATGGTACTTACTTAGTTACTTCTAATTAGTTTGTAAGTGAAAGACGCTTCAAAATAGGGTTGAAGAAAGTTGCTTCTGATTATAAGAACTTGTAAACCTAGGTAACTTACCAGCATTGGAGGACAGGAATGATATTTTTTTTTTTGGCTGTTTTCATTTAATGAGCATTCTGATGATGGCACTGACTTATCAGGTATTTAATACACCCAGAATTAACTCTTGATTTCCCATTTTGTCCTCGTCCATCTCTGTTAGTATAGCATTAGAGCAGCAGTGTGACAGTTGTACTCTCTTATAACTTTTTATCACAAAATTTGGCTGTAGACTGGAATGTCTGACAAATAACTGTTTCATTTCCTTGCAATGGGAAGGATGCCTACCTAGGCCAGATTAAATGGCAACATCCTTTTTACTGTAGTAATCCTTTGAATTTAGACACAGTTACCAGCTTGGTAACTTCTCAGGACATTACTGCTTACCATAAATCTCCTGTCTGTAATGGTTGTCTAGTCAGATTGGAAACATTGAAAACAAAACTGAAAAGCTCATTTATATATTTATACTGTAAAAGCCTGTTTGTGCTAAAGGCTAGTATAAAACTTTAAAACCAGAAATAATTATTCTTCTGAAGATGTTAGTTGAAAGTGAGACCTATTCATTAGAGGAAAAATACATAGCTAAATGTTCTCTAAATTATTTTAAACTGCTACTGAATAGTACAGTTGCTGTACAGCAGAAATTTAGAGGAAGAGCACTGTTCCAACACTATCTCATAATTTGGTCTACCATCTGTTTATTTTTATTGAATAAATAATAGGATCCATTTAATGTCTTGTCACTGGGATTAGTATCTGTCCTGCTATAGAATTTTTTTTTCCTCAAGACTTATTTATTATGGACTTGAACTTGGGCTAGGCCTTTTTAAGCTTCAAATGCTCAAAGTAATTTTCATGTTCTTTTTTTTTTAAAGAGTTTATTTAACTCTGGAAAACCAGATTTGTTTTATGTTCTTGAACAAGTCATGGATGTCTTGTTGTAGTGACCTGGTTGTAGAGTTTACAAGTCATTACTAATGAAGGGGTTTTAACTTTTTTTTTTTTTCATTAAACTACAAATATAAATGTGTTTGTGCAGAGGAGGTTGAAGTTATCTTCTTATGGCTTAGGCAAGTGGAGTAAGGTACTCTGGAAGACTGTATTAGAACTTGTAGAAAGATTAGAAACAGTCCTATGCCTTACCAGTGGTTGCTAAAACTTTTCTTTAAATAGCAGTTCCTACAATTAGGCTGTATATGGCAGGTGTAATTTGGTGGAGTTTTTTATATGGATGCTGTTCTGAAACAACGATCTGTTTAGTGGAATGTGCCCTAACAGAATTATTTCTGAATTGAGTGTTCCATGAAAGTTTTCATTTTATGTAGGCCATGAAAAGATGGAAAGAAACTTTTTTAAGTGAAGGGGGAGATTTCGCCTTGATTCCATGTTATGGAATACACTTACCTTGCAGAGATCTGCAGAATATAAGCAATTCTATAGCCAGGTGTTAGAAATTTAAGTATTGGATAAAAGGACTATATAGAAATGAAAGTTATTTTTTCTGCTTTCAGTTGAAAGTTAACTGAAGATATTTTTCCATTTACTTAAACAGAGACAAAAAACCACACAGGAGCAAGATAAACAGTCAATTATGTTAATCTGACTTTCTCTGCAAAACCAATGTGACCAATCAGTTTGAAAGATAATATTTTTGTTTGCTTGTGTTTAGCCTTTTAATGGTGCTTTATCTAGTTAGTTTCATTGTTCTCCCCTCCCCCCCTTTTTTTCCCCCCTACTTTTACATCATGGAGGGAGTTAACTCAGCTCTGTTAAATATGCTATATTTTCTGTATTTTAAAATGTTAAAATACAGTGCCTCCATAACAGTGGCCATTTGCTACTGAAGTCGTGGCAAAACAGTCACTGAATGAAGATAAGAGTGTATCTTCACTGGGAGGAGAACTATTCAGGCCTATGTGAGACCTTAGGCTGGTATCTGTCCTTTGGGCCAGGGAGGCTGGGTCATAGCTAGTCTTGAATGACAGATTCTTTAACAGTGAGATTGCCAAAGGCTCCCCACCTGAGAAAGGGACTTTTAAAGAGAGCTTTTCTCACTGACTCAGCACTCCTACCACTTCTTCATTTTAAATGAGCAAGACAACTCCCCAAATATAAACTCTTGTGTGTTAGGGAGGGGGGGGGAACTTAATCAGATTGATTACTAGTTAATGGTATTTTAGACAGTCCTTTTTAAATTGCATGTCTACCATTTTAATAAATGGGACAAATGATGTTGCAAAGCAGATATGCACTCTTTTTACATTTTGAAAATAACTTTGCAGGTCCTTTCAGGTAATTTTCATAAACATCTGTCGAATTTGACTTTGTGGAACTGTAGGAAGTAACTGTCTGCATTATAGTCTTTCACATTTACAGTTTCTGGGTTTTTGGTGGTAACTGCCAACTCTGGAAACGTGAGCTATTAGTTGATTTCTGGTATTCAAAAATGTATGGAGAAATCTATTTGAAAAATTAGGAACTGAGTGGTCTTGCAATACCTTTTCTCTACAAGCAGATTACCTAAGCCAAGAAAGCATTTATTATTCGCAGTGACCATCACTGAAAATCTATAGGTGTTTTATAATACTGTAATTGAGCCATCTGTCTATTAACTGCCTTTATATATGAATCTACCTTAAAGAGTATCTTCAAAGTTATGGTAGCATTTTTTTTGTGTGCACACTGGTAAAAGGTTCACTATTAATGAGCTTCTTAACTTTCAGCTCCAATGGCGATTCCTCCATCATATGTAGACCTTGGCAAATCTGCCAGAGATATCTTCAATAAAGGATATGGTAAGAATAGTACCTTTTATAAAACATTGTGTCTGTGGTGCAACAGTGAATTGCCTTTTTAAGCCTGTATGTAAAATTGAATGCTCAAATGCTTGTGTTTGAGGAGGGGGAAGGTGTGTTGGTTTTATATTATTACCATCAACTTAACAGGTCTCTAGAGGCTTTTGTGGGCTGTTTGGATGTGAAATCTGTTAAAATCTTAGTGCTTTAGTCACATAAATGTCAGGTGTACAATATGCAAGAATGTAAGCATCAAGTGTAATTTAATTTAGGAGTACACTTTGTTTACCAATCTGTGCCACATTTGTTGATATAGAAAGGGATATATACCACTGTAAACATTATAGCCTCTTTTGAAATAGAAAGAGGAATAGCTATTGGGATAAAGAATTCTTTAACATTTTATAATGCTTTAATACCAGACAGTTGCATAGTTGAATTCTTTGTGAGAGTGCTGTTTGGTCTTTGGGAATGCATGTGGGGGCTCTTTCACAAAGACTTTCACTCAGCTCTATGGGTAACAGTGTGAATTGACACTCCTATAAAACCTACTTATATTACAGTTCCAGTGGCTGTGTATTTCCCAGTGACTTCACTTTTACTTTTTTTTTGATTTGTTTTTGTTTTTTTACTTTGAGATATATTTTTTTCTTGGTGCTGAGACACAAATTGAGATCGCTCTTCAAATGACATTGACTACAAAGCCGGTGCCATCCCAGGAACAGAAAAGAATGCATTTTGTCTGTCACTGAATTTACTCTTGGAAGTTGTCATTTGATAGTTAGATGTGCAGTGTACAACTGAGAGATTATTTCCCACTTTTGATGTGATGATGATGGAATAGACCTCCTGGCTTGCTCCAGAGTGGCCTCCTCTAACCACTGTGGCATCTAAAATTTGAGTGTTACTGAAGTAAGCCTTGGTTTTATATCTGTATATATATGGCACACTGCCGAGACTGCTTGGAAAACCAGATTCTTGGAAAATGTGCGTGGTCTCAGTTAAAGTCTATTGGTGTAACTTTGTCTTCTGTTTGTTAAGGTTTTGGGTTGGTGAAACTGGATGTGAAAACAAAATCTGCAAGTGGAGTGGTGAGTTTAGATACCTTTCATTATTTTTTTTCCTGGGTTTGTTCTGATATTTAATTAGAAGGGACACCTTCTGTATGCTGTTGAATGGTTTATAGGTTATATGAATGATAAACTTTTGGTGTAAAACAATTTCAGAAGTCCCTAAACATCTGAATGTAACAGGGGTATCATATCACACTGTTTAGTTTTAGCTGTCCCTCACCTTATGTCTGAAGCTGAACAAATAGCTGACACATTTTTGTATCAGTCATAGTACACAGAAGTTATTTCTGAAGTACCTTGTGATGCTACTTTTATTTGGAGGAAACGTGGCATCTTGATTCTTCTGTGAAGTAGCTGACAGTGAATTAGCACATTGAGTCTTTGGCTCCTCTTTAAAGGTATTAAAGTGCTGCATTAATGTTTTGTGCAAGATGTCTTGGTCATGCAAGCAGTGCCTCCTATAACTGTTCTCTATTTCTAGAGTAGACTTTGCAAGATAGGAAGGTAGATTTTTTTTTTTTCCCCATAACTGGAAGCTTTAAGATTGTAACTGGTTATTAGAAACAAGGTGCATGGGTTATATGTTGTGTCAAGCACAGTTTGCAAGAACCCTATTATATGTGTAGCTATTCTTATTTTAGCCTGTTTCTTTTGAGGACTACCTGTAATACTTGTAAAACTCTCTGAAAAATCCAAGCCCACATGTGAATCCCATATCAGTTATAAGCCATCCTTTGCAGGAGGAGAAAGTGTTGGCATATATGTACTGCAGATGCTTTAAAGCAGAGATAAGAGATAATGTAATAATTTGCTCTCCTAAAGCTATTACCACAATGGCTGTGGTCATACATGCCCTGTACAGTAGGAATAGCACAAAGCAAGAAGTTAAAGCTGAAAGCTATTTGGACTTGAAGTTGCGTAGTCCCTGTCACTTGCTAAGAAATAAGCCTCTATGCAACTATGAAGACGGTTTAGTGGTTCACTAACATAATACAAGTAGATGTCTTGGCTGTGGTTAAATTTGATCAGCTACCATTGAAGAACAGTGTTGGTGCTTGTGATGTATGGTAGGTTTTGGGCTGTGAGAATATGAATGCTTAAGGATTTGTGACTTCAAATTCGTGTTCCCTTCTGAGGGAGGTGAGTGTGAGGAGTCAATCTGAAAAATAATACTCCGCGTGGAGGAAGTCAGAGATAAAAATTTTGATTTATATGCTTTAAAAAGTTGAAATAATAAACTTTTAAAATTATAAGGGCAATAACCTTTCAGTGGAAAGAGCTCTGTAGTGTACATTTGCAAACCAAACTTCCACTTCTACCGGCTACTGCCTTTAGTTTCTGAATAGTGGAACACAGAAATTATTCATTCTGTCATTGTGAGTAACCAGAGACATCAAAGACTACTTAGTTTAACAAGGAGATGCGAGTGATAGTGCTAACTTCTAAATTCTTTCAAGAATTCTAAGACAGACTTTATCAGAAGCATACAATCAAACTTTTGCCTTAGCTCACAATTCAAACATGAATGTTCCTCCTGTGTGTCATTAAACCTGTCAGGGGAAGAGGAATTTTGTAGATGTCAGTAAAAACACATGTACCTATGGCTTGAGTGAAAGTCTGCTGTGTTGGTTAGACTAAGAACTCTCTCAAAAAGCAACACCCCCCCAGAAACCCAAACCACCACCTGCCCCACCCCTAATTTGAAAAACAATGATATTCTATGACATTTTACAGTTGTACATAATTTATCTTTAGAGGTGATTGACAGGAAAGATGAAAATACGTATGTGATCCTTAAAGAATTTTGCTGGAGTTGCATTATGTGCCTTAGGGCTCTTGTTTGATTTTTAATTTGCTCATTAGGAGTGTCAGATTAACCTTATATTTCAGGAACGTGTTTCTCCTTTTAAGGAGAATACTTACAGTAACTACTGTCTTGTTTCTGAGTTATGTTGCAAACCTGTACATTTTGTAATAGTGTCAGAAACACTGCAGTTGAGATGGGGAGTGGGAGGAGGCCTCTGTGGGCATGAATTGTTTAGGACTTCTTGTCTGTGTCATTCCCCTCTCTCCCCACACAAGTTGTCTAATGTTTTTAAAATTGTTGCATAGAATAACAAGATCTTAGTGTTTGCTGAAGAAAAGTCTTTTCTCTTTTGGCACTGTGTGATGCTTTCAGGATCACCTGTATTTTCTGTATAACATGGACATTGTCATTTTTAGGAATTCACAACATCTGGTTCATCGAACACAGACACTGGAAAAGTGAATGGGAGCTTGGAGACCAAATACAAGTGGGCTGAATATGGACTGACTTTCACAGAAAAATGGAACACAGATAACACTCTGGGAACAGAAATTGCAATTGAAGATCAGGTAATAGATTAAGAGAGGATTTATTTGTTTTACTGAGCTAGCAGACCTGAATTTATAGCTTTATCTTATCTTTTCCCCCTTGAATTAGATTGCCAAAGGTTTGAAGTTGACATTTGATACAACTTTCTCACCAAATACGGGGTAAGGATTATTAGCCTTTTCACCTTATTTAGGGCAGTAAGAACACCCATGGTCAGTGAATATTCAATCCAGTCTGTTGTATTGACAAAGATATTTGTATGGTTTGCTATTGATCCAAACTAGGAAATCCCAGTGCTAAAGGCTTCTGCTCTTTAGCATCACATCTTTTTCTATGGGCATTTCACAACAGTTCACTTTGCTTATTTCTTTGGGATGGAAATACCTGTAAGATTACGGGAAGCATGAAAATGCCCCTCTGTTCACCACAAAATGCCTGTTCACAGTAGCCCTGTACTTACTTGATGGACTAGTCTAGAGAATGTGAGTGCATGGCATTTAGATACATTGTGTGGAGTCATATGGCTTGAATTTGACAGTTCACTGAGGAGGATCAAGCTTTGTCTTAAGATAACTGTTTCTCTGTTTCAGAAAGAAAAGTGGTAAAATTAAGTCAGCTTATAAACGTGAATGCCTAAACCTAGGTTGTGATGTTGACTTTGATTTTGCTGGACCTGCAATCCATGGTTCAGCTGTCTTTGGTTATGAAGGCTGGCTTGCTGGCTATCAGATGACTTTCGATAGTGCCAAATCAAAATTGACAAGAAATAACTTCTCTGTGGGTTACAAGACTGGAGACTTCCAACTGCACACTAATGTGTAAGTACTGAAAATTGTGTCCAGATTTAGAGAAGCAGGCTTTTTCTACCATTCCCTCTAGTCAGAATAGAAATGGTGCAAGGCCATTAGGTGGAGTGCATTTTTCAATAAGAAACTCTTAACTAAATGATACTTTGTATCTCTCAAAACAGTAAATACTCATGGCTTGTTAGCACTTAGAGCATGATACATGCTACAGCTTAGCAAATACCAAAGTATGTCCAAATGGGAAGTGCGGTAGTTCAGTTATGCAGAGCTGATGGTAATGGTTTTTCCAGCTTTCCCATTACACTGAATTGTATCTGACTATAATTTAAGGGCAGTAGATTTGTTAGAGGTAGTGATAAGTGTCAAGCTGTTTAAGTAGGCCAGGAGTAGTTTCTGGAGCAAGACTAGAGCTTTATTTTTTAACTTCTTGAGTAGGTTCATCTTCTTGCCTGTCTGGGATGATGAGTGCATGAAGTACTTGGTGTGTAACTAAGTGTAAGACGTCTTGTTTATGAACTTCTTTCAGACTTGCTGCATTTAGATCTTAAATGCTCTTCAAAGCAAGCTGATCAAAATCTACTGAAGAACATGGTATAAGTTAATACAAATTGGTGGTGTTCTAGTGCATTTAGTTAGGAAATAACTTAATGTAGAAGTTTGCCCTTTTGGAGGGGGAGGATGGGCATTATATCAGGGTTTATAGAGGTTGAGGGGTATGGGAGGAAGCTACAAAACACTTCCTAGTCTGGGCTGTGAGAATTCCATTTCAGTTTACTTATGTCAGACATTGTGACAGATATTTAGAAAGGTTATCTAATTCTTTAGGAATATATGTATTCAGTAATCATAGAATTCAGAATACCTGTTTCTGAACTGTTAACATTCATCTGTTTTGTAAGGGTGTGATCTGGAATTTCATTCAAGTATTTAGTTCAACATTAGTGTGAGAATTAGCTGTAGCACTGAAATATCTTTTTTTCCCGTGAATTACTGCAGTTTTATTTTGCCTTGAAGCCTTTGTTCATCTTCCCTTCTCCTGTTGAAAAATGTGAAACAACTGAAACTTTTGGAATTCTCATTTGAATAAAAATTTGAAGTAGTTAAAAAAAAACCAAAACAAAACAACAAAACAGCCAACTGTTGGGACTACGTAAATATAGGAAACTTAACTTTTTTCTTAATTTGTGCAGCAATGATGGTTCAGAATTTGGTGGTTCAATTTACCAGAAAGTGAGTGATAATCTTGAAACTGCTGTAAACCTGGCCTGGACAGCAGGTAGCAACAGCACTCGCTTTGGCATCGCAGCTAAATACAAGTTGGATTCCACTGCTTCTATCTCTGTAAGTATGGCTCTGATCAAAAGGGTTATGCAAAGCACAGTGTTATTTTCAGTGCAAAATAAGGTAATAGGTCAGGAAGTCTTGTAGGAATTACTCTTACAATCTAGGCAGTTATAATTTAAACCATCAGTATTTAAATTCTATAATGTTGCATGCAGCAAAGTCTCTTTTAGAATCCAACTGTCGAATGTTGTGCTACTCTAGAGGACTTGTGTTTTTTTTCAGAATTTTTTTTTTAAAATAAGTACATCCTCATGTCTAGTTCCATAAGTTTACAGAATTTTTTCAAAACCAGTTTTTGGGAGTCCGTCACATTCTCATGGTGAGAAGTCTGGTGATACTGTTTAAAAGGGAGATTTGCAGAAAAGTTTTCTCTGTTACAAAGTTAGAACTGAACCTGGATTGTGGGAATCAGCCTATAGAGGAAATGATGCCAAGCAAGATAAATAATTTTGCACAATTGTTTATGATGATACTATGAGATGCTTGCTGCTTGACTGATTGGACTTGCAAGATACAAATTCTTTTGTAATAGTATGAACACGGAGGGTTCTTCTGAAGTGGCGTGTTTTGGGAGACTGGTGGTAAATTGCTATGGCCGCCTGAAAAGGGGAAAGTGGGGAAGTTCACCTGCCAAATTATGTTTCAGTAACAGTTCTCCCTGCCCTTACATTCTGTCTGCTCTTAAATATGTTACTACTTCACCTGTAAGTAGGGGAGCAAGGCCATAGCTGGCAAGAATCCAGTAAGCACAAAAATATTGAAAGAACAAACAAAGCTTGATTAAGTTGATAGTGGCAGTTTTTGCCATAGTTATTCTAGCTTCTGAATGATAGCAAAGAACTAATCAGTTCCAACATGTCAATTGCCTTTGTCTTTTTTTTTTTTTTTTTCAGGCAAAAGTGAACAATTCTAGCCTAGTTGGAGTGGGTTACACCCAAACCCTGAGGCCAGGTAAGGGTTATTACATGAATTATGTCATGTACATCCCTTTTATGCATCACAAAGAAAATCTTGGATATCTTGTATTTATATGCAACTATTTCTTTGGAATAATTTTGTCTTGAAGGTAAGGTAGGTGTTTTATAGTAGCTTATGTTGGACATTAAACCTTTATCTGAACAAGACAAATTCCACTGTATCTAACAGTATTTCTGCATCATTCCTCATTGATTTGTGTAGGAATGGACTGTATTGTGTTTGATAGCTTAGCTTTAGGCTGGGCAAAGCAATCTTTCTTTGTCATAGCTTTCTCCACTTGTATCGTATTGAATGATAGTGGGTCTTGAAATAATGATTAATCATCAAAGAACATACTTCCTGCTCTTCACACTTAGTAAAAAACCCTTCAAAACTTAACTTGTTCTGCTTAAATATGGAAGACCTGTTAATGCTATATTACCATTGGTTAGTTCCTTATTTGAAAACCAATAAAAATCGTAGTTTCATTCCATTTTCCTTGGTACAAGTGTCTGTCTTACTGTGCATAATTTCCTCCTTTGCACACCTTAATGTAGAAAAGGAGAGCTCTTGTGTAATTAGCAATTAAGAGACTTTGTATATCTACTCTGTAACATGGTATTTACAAAAAGCACCTAGTTTGATTCATGTGACTAGCTTTCATAGCTTTCAATAGATTTCATGGGTAAACATATTTTTGTGTAGAAATTTTTAGAGGAAAGTAAAGACATGGAAAAGGAGCTACAACTGGGACTTGTAATGACGGAGGTTGAGTTGCATGATAGCTACTCTGCTTGTATAATATCTAAATGTGCTGTTTTAAAAATTTTACAGGTGTGAAGCTTACACTGTCTGCCCTGATAGATGGAAAGAGCATCAATGCTGGTGGCCATAAACTTGGTCTTGGCCTGGAATTGGAGGCTTAAAAAGGCAAAGAAGCTGCTGCAGAGAAGGGATATCAGAAGAATTTGGCCTTAAAATGTATTTCCAATGTGACCAGCAGGCTTTTTTTCCCAAGAAGGATGACCTAGAACAAGAGCTGTATTTGGAGTATTTAGACAGTTACTTGTTAGCTGGTTTCTAGTTAAATTGGTTACCCATCTAGTTAAAATTCTGCATTAGTGCAGTCACTTAAACATTATTTAATGTATTTAACTGTTTAATGCGCTACCCACAATGAAATAGACATTTATGAAAACTGTACAATTGTGTGCATGTTTGTTTTTATGTTCCTTTTAGCATTTGATATTGCCATTGAATGAAAAATGGATCAGTGGATGTTTTGAAATGAGGTCAACAATTTGTCAAATGACCTGAAGTAGAAGTACATTTGGTATCCCAAGACAAATTATGAATAAAACAAGTACACACACACATACTTGTGCCTCAGATATTTTAAGAGTTAAGATACGAGGGTAGTGCTCAGTTAAGTTTTAGCTTAAAATAATCCAAGAAGTAGTGCTCTATACCTTTGTGCAATTAAGGACACCACCCCTTCACCCTCTCCCTCCCCAACAACACTGAATATAGGTGGTTTTCACTGAACAGTTGGATTCCTCAAGCAAGTTGAATGTGCTTTTCTGTCAGGTAAGACATGTCGTGATACAATGGTTTAATTCCCCCTGCGTTCCATGGGCAAGACTTACAGTGCTACTAGTTGGCCTCCTGATGCAAAGAGTGCAGAATGATGTACTTGGCATACTGAGACATTTAAGAACTGCTCCTTGATGCTTTTGGCCAAGGAGTGAAAAACCTCACCACAAATACCTTTTGCTTATTTGTATGAAGTGAGATGTATCTCTGCAATTGAACATTAATGGTGTAATGGTATAACAGCCTGCTTTTATCCAAGCTGCTATGAGGTTTCTGCTTGCAATGACTGAAATAAAGGCTTAATTTTAAGTGGAGATGAAGGAAAATGCATCTGATTTTGCTTTCCTTTTGACTAATAAATCTTGGCAGATAGACACTTAAGTCCAGAAACATGCAGAATAATGGAAATTCTCTTGTTTTTCCAGGATAGAATTAAGAGAATAGAAATATGAGGAATGTTTGGTCCCTAAGCATAACGTCCCTTAAGGTCAAACATAACTAGCTGTGAATGCTTTAAATGTGGAATATATTAAATACATGTAGTTACAGTGCTTACATTTAAGAATAGGGATTTATTGAGTTCAAGGGAGTGCCTGGAGCCTACTCCTTACAGTCTCTCATAGCTGAGAAGGATATCTTGATACTTAGTTGTGCAGTCTGTAGTTCACAGCAGATTTTATAGAGCAGGTGGCTAGGTTATGATCAGGAAGAGATCAGAGATCATTATCTCTGGTTTTCAAGCTGTGTTTGGTTCATGCTGGATTAGACAACCCTCATAAAAGTCCTAGTGATTTGCTTGAGGTCTTGTGCCATCTTGCACTATTGCCCTCATACTCAAAGTCTCAAGTACTCTGTTGTAAACAGCCTGTGTTCAGACTTTAGCTGTGGAATAGCTGAGCTACCTTCTTTGCAGATGATGCAGCAGAGCTTAAGCTTCCATCTTAGGCTCTTCAGCAGGCTTGCTAGTGTATTCAACTAGTTTTGTTACATAGCAAAGCAAAAGTTTGTCAGCATTTGTGCTTTGGAGTACCTTACTGTTGTTCACACTAAATGCCCTTTTCTGAGGAGCACTTCCACCACTTGGTGATGGAAGAAGCGAGTAAGGTGCAATTTGTGGCACTCTTATTGCATATTAATGTTTGGAAGCTGTATTTTTAGTTTGAAATGTTCTTACGAGCTAGACCACTTAAAGCTAGAGACTCTGCAGGCAGACATTTGAATTTTAGTACAGGTTCTTTTCAGTATAACCATCTTTGGTGCCTCACAAAGTGTGTCCAGGCTTCTGAAAGAAGAATAAATGCTGTGTGTCTGTATGCGTTGTCCAGCTATAGCACCTGGGCAAATAAAGGACTCTTGTCCTATATTTATGAACGATGCCTTGTTTACGTCCTTAAACCACCATAGCTGCAACACTGATGTTTCTCAGTTTTTGGAAGCTTTTGATAGGGCTGTGGTGGTCTAGTGGTCTGACACATTTTTCTTCTTTTTTTTTTTTTTTTGATGGTGGTTGTTTTGTTGGTTTTTTTTTTTTTTTTTTTTTGGGTGGTGGCTTGGGTTTTTTTGTTCTGTGTTTTTTTTTCTTAGAAACAGCTACTCTAACCCTTTCTTTGCTACCTGCTTCTCACCTCTAGCTGTTTCTCCTGAGGGCACAAAATGGGCAAGTGAAATAAAAGCATATATTGCAGAGTTTCTGTTCAGCTCTTCATACAAATTAGTAATGGAAAGTTTGAACCGATTAATTTTACTGTTTTCCTGTGCATCACTTCACTAGTCCTCAGCCTTTAAACTTTAAGTAGTTTCATTTGTTATAATGCTGATAGGCAACTGGAGAAATAAAAGGGCTCTGCAGTAGTTAAGACAATTTTGAAAATGTGAGTTTTCCTAAATATTCTGTCATAAATCACTACTTTGATCACGAAAAGGAAGTTCAGTGTCTATTGACATCTCTCAAGTGAGGCTTATAAGAACAGTTTCAAACTTTCTTTTCAACTGTGTTACAGAAGTTGGTGGTGTAATTGGAGTTTTGTGATAAGGAATGTTGGTAGTTTAAATAGCTCCATTTTGTTAGAAGATGTAAAAAGCCTTAATGATAACTTTGAGTGCTAGCCAGCCTTTCCTCAGGTGTCATTCTGAATAAAATAAAAACACTTGAGATAACCAATGACCTGAGCATGGCTGTGCATCTTGTTTGTGTGAACTGTGCATTGCATTCCTGCCTGGGCTAGGTGTTGTCCATGTGCGTATTGCAAGGAGACTTAATTACACTTTCATAAATAAAAACCCATTTCACATGAGATTATGATGCTCTGAATTTTGCAAGTTACTTGAGTAACTTGAACACTTATGTTCTTGCTGTGCTGTAGAAATTCTCCAGATTGTTTCAATGAACCTTGCATTTTTCACATAGTTCATCTTAGTGTGGTATACTTTTAAATCTGCCTCTTGTGCACTGCAGTCATTCAAAACCAGGAAGTTTGTCTGGAACTATTTTGGGATAGGTATGGAAACCTTTCACCCCTGAGCGTTGGGGTACAGGTTTTTACTTTTCCCTTGGCTGTGTCACTGGGATAAAGCCAGGTAGTAATAGTGTGCTTACTGCCCCCTGATGTCCTGTTCTGGTGTTTGGCTTCTTACTGCAATAGCCTGTCTACCGGGCACAAAGATGCATTTATATCCACGGTGACTGCACTTCTATAGGAAGTAGATCTAAGCAAACAGAAGACAACCACGCATGGATGATCCAGCCCTACTTATGTCAAAGGTCCTTGCTTCCTTATTGTACCAGTCAGCAAAGAGAAACAATCCATTGCAAGGTAAACCACTACTGATGACAAATACTGGGTCACACCTGTGACAGCAGTGTCTTAATGGCAGGTACAAATGCTTCCTGTGAACTGGCAGGAAGGACAATCCAAAGAAGCAGCTGGTTGTGGTGTTATGTGGCATGAAAGGACTATGTTGCAAGCGATTTTATAGTGTTTGTCAGCCTCCCTTTGCAGAGGAATATTCTTGATCTGGAATAGGAATTAAAACACAGATTATATCAATTATTGTAGTGTGAATTAATTGTATTTTAGTGGTTTCCCTTCTCATGATTGTTCCTGGACTTGCCTTTTAGTTGCCCGTTGTATCTGTCCATGTGCTGCTGGGTCAAATGGAAAGCAATAAACAATTTTTGTGAGCCCAATGTACAGCATCTTCTGCTTTAGCTGTGAGTTTGACACTGATGCTCATGTAAAAGGAGGCAAACCTCTTTTTGCACAGTGATTTCTGAAAAGTAATATGCAATTAAAACTGATAAAAATGGTATTAGTCAAAATGTGTGCTGTTATACACTAAGATTTGGTTCACATCTACACTCGTTTATCTGTTGGTGTTGGGAAAAGTGCTGATAGACCTTTAAAGATGTCGAGCAGTCAGATTTTGCTTCAGCTCCAACCTTTACTACAGCATATGTTTTTAAATGAGAATTTTCTGCTGAAACCGATAGCATGGCAATACTTGCAGTATGATTCCAGCTGGTTAACAGTAATGCATATTGGAAATCTTTCAAGGGTTTGTGGGTGTTTTGTTGGGATGTTCTTTGTCCTGGATCTGTGGGGGAAGATCCTAATGTTGAAGTAATGACTGTTTTAATGATTTTGCATTGTTAACAACTTGGAACCTTTTCTGTTTTACTTTGCTTGTGCTCCTATGAGCATTAAAATACTAAATGGCTATTATGGAAACCTCACTAATCTTACACGGTGGGCTCCATGGAGTAGGTTTGGGTGTGCTAGTGTGAGTCAGGGTTACAGTGCTCGGCCAGAAGCTGGGCCCAGCACAGGTGGGAGAGCCGAGGAAGCACCTCACAAGGAACTGGTGAGATTTGTCCTGGGATATTTTACTGAGTCATGGTGGCATTACTAAAACCCCACCTTAACTGAACATTAGGCATACATAACCACTTAAGGGAGGGTAAGTTTTGCTGTTTAGGGCTTGTCTGTTGTGCGGGTAAGTGGTGTGAGGAGGAGGGGTACTTTGGTCTGCGCCCCTGCAGCTCCCGAGAGCGTTACGGGGTGTGAGTCCGGCTGCCGGCGCAGGGCGGGGAGCGGGAGCGTCCCCCGAGGGCGTTTCCCGCCCC